TATATATATATATATATATTGGATAATGGTTTCAAGGATAATCTAGTTGTACTTTCATTACAAGTTGATCCCTCCATCCATGGAAAAAAAATAAAAAAATAAAAATTGGTCGTCCTTCAAAATGTTTTTTTTTTGGTTTTGTTTTGTTTGTTTTTTGTTTTTTTTCACGAGAAACAAAAGGAATTGTCTTAAGCCACGTTACAAAAAGACAATGGAAAACCGGGAATTGAGTATAACACAGAGTCAGAAACTGGGAGAAAAGCAAAACGACGTCGCAGCATCTCACGTCCGTCCGTCCTCTGACCCGCGCTTGCATATAACTGCATTTGGCGGCGGATCCACAAGTCCGTAAATCGGCAGATCCGAAAAGCGCTTTGGATCCGACGCGGTTTCGGACCCGTTTTCTTTCTCGCAGCGACATGTTCCTTCAAATGACTCGCGATCTACAACTTCTCTCAGATCCGAACCTCTGAATTTCACTTTCTCAGAGAGAGAGGGCATCAATGCCGGTGGTTATCGAGAGCTCCGTTTGGGAACCGAATCCATGGCTGTTCATACTCATATTCTTGGCTTGTTTCCTCTCGATTCTTCTACTCCCTTACTTCTCCAAGAAGCACATCGTTAGCAGCGGCAAATCTCCCGCCATCTTCGACCTCGGAATCGCTTCCGCTTCCTTTCTCCGTTTCCAGAGGAACTTTCTTATCATTTACTTTCTCGCTTCAGGTCCGTACACGATTCTCTACATTCACGTTTTCGATTTCCCGCGGATTTTTAAATCGGTCGTTAGACGTTTGTTTGGTTGCCTAGAAAATGTAGGAAATGTAGAGAGTGATTTGAGCGCTCGAAACTTAATTTATGAACTAAAAAACTGAGCATCGCAAACGAACAGGAAAGCTGACTTTTGAGATTTAGGTAATTTGGATAAAAGAAGAAAAAATTTAATTGATTATGTGATAGCTGATATTTGAATTCCCTGCTCTCAGTTCTGGAAGGATTGGACTTCGCTTTCGGTGAGTTTGAGTTTGCTCATTACGGCGTAAGCAGAGAGCAGATATTGTTATCGATCTTTGTTGGACACGCATCTTCTCTGTTCTTTGGTACTTTCATAGGAGCATTTTCCGATTTAATGTAAGTGCACTCATCTATTTGCCTTTCATCCCTCGAATTCGATTATTCCTTTTCTGGACTTCCATTTTCGTTTTCATAAATTATAGATGTTAACATATTCTACTTAATCCAGTCTTATCTATTAAATCAATGTGTTAAAATTAATCTATAATGTCCTAACACATAATAATACGTAGTTTCGATATGTTGTCTAACGGTCAGAGAGATGTTCAGAAAATTAGTCTGTTTACGTATTTGCTTTCTGATCGTTTCAATTTATGTGCCGATTCCGTGCTTTATTCTTACATACAAGATGATTGAGCTATAAGTTTTGTGAATCTAGGTTAATCTTTTTCTTCGATCACTGCTCATGGTTTTGCATTTTGGTAATTCTTGTACAATTTACATCTTGATTTATGCGGAAGACATAAGAAACTGATTTTTTTTTTTAATCTGTGCTTTATGTAGAGGTCAAAAGAAATTTTGTGTGATCTTTTGCATCCTCCACCTTTTTGTCGGCCTATGGAAGAGATTTATCGCACATCCAAGTATTATAGTGGGTAGCATCTGTTTGTCACTCTCTGCTTCGGTATTTTCATTCAGTTTTGAGACATGGATGGTAGTTCAGCATGAAAAGGTTTGTTGGATATAGTTATTCAATTTTGGTTTTGGGTCACCTCTCATAGGCTCATGTACACTCATTCACTGATTGGTTCAAGTTTCTTTTCTGTAATAAACTCTAGTGTATTTGTGAGTTTCTCCAATGTTATTGTCTTGTAGAATAGTTAGTTACACTGCCACTAATGACGGTATTTGTATGTTTTACATTTGCAGCAAGGGCACAGAAGAGATACATTGAATGACATATATTGGTTGATGAGTTTCTTTGAGGCTGCCTCTATAATCCAAAGTCAAGTCCTTTCAAATTGGCTCATTGGTGATAATGTGGAACAGAACATTTCATCTCCTCACATGGCAACTGTCTTCTTTGCGATGTTGGGGATCATTTGTATCTCTAAAATATGGGCAGAAGTCCCTCAGAAAACAGTGTTTAAGGAGTATAAGGTGTCTTTCCAAACGCATATTTTTGGTGGTAAGAGTCACATACTATTGTTTTATCTTACATTCCATTTGTCCTTTACCTTGAACTATATTTTTTGCATTCTCTAATTTATTATTAGCTAAGCTTGAATGTTGCTTAATCAGGAACGGAGCACCTTAGTTCATTGAAGCTATGTGCTAAGTGGAATTTACGATAATTATGAAGAACCTATCCATTTTTTTGCTTTGTACTTTCTCTTTGGTTTTTCCCATTCTTTGCAGTTTCCTTCACCACTCGTTTCTGTCTGCCATCCTGCTGTGATTCACAGAAATTTATCAACTCACAACAGCTATTGCCAATCTTTCTGTAGCCTTCTTCTATATTTAAAGCACCTATGCACCTTGCTTTTAATGGCAAGAATGAGTACTTCTTAGCACTTTCACACTACTTAGCTGGAAATTGTAGTTTTGTTACTGTTCTGGCAAACAGACTTTCTCAGATTAGAGGTTGATTCCACAACAGATGCTCTAATAGTATGTTGTCCAAGTAGCTCCTTTAGTTTAGTTTACTTTAGCCGTAAGATTTCCCTTATGTTTATTTGTATTCAGCTCTTTTTCTTAAGCATATGGCAGAAAATTTGCCTTGGCATAAATGTAACCAAGTCTTAATAGGTTGAGATGATATGTTCGTTTATTTTCAATTTTTTCCCTCTTTTTTAATCTTTATAAATGGAAAAATTCATATTGCTGTTATAAATTATAGTGTGTTCTTTTCCTGGAAAGAGGGGGGAAATGGGTCATGCATGTGCGAATGAAAATGTAGTGCAAGAGTGAGAAACTGTAAATTGTTTCATAGTTAAAATCATTTACTGTCAATGGTGTGCTTATAAAGCTCATGAGTAAAATGTTCTCATTACTGATGAGTTTTGGTAGTTGGCAGATAAAAAGATATGGTTATTGGCATGGGTGCAAGCTTGCCTTCACTTTTCTGTTGCAGTCTTCTGGATTCTTTGGGCCCCAACTGTGGTGGTATGTTTATGTTGACCATGTGTAAAAATTTGAGAGACAACTGTCTCATCTCGTCCTTTTTTATTAAGTCAAGCATTTTTAAGACCGTCAATTTCTGTAGATAAAGAGCTCTCTCTCTCATATATTGGTGGTTGATAAGGCATCATGATAGAAAATGTTGTTTACTGAAATCTAGATCTGTGCTACTGCAAGTTTTAAGTTTCACACTCTGTGTAATTATGCTAATTTACTTGTGGCATAGGCTGATGGGCGAGAAGTACATTTAGGCATGATATATCCATGTCTTTTTGGCTCAAGAATGCTAGGAAGCACAATATTCCCATGGCTGATTGACAGACTATCATCGCGTAGAACTGAGGATTACTTGGTATATGCATTTGGTATACAGGGGCTGGTATTATTCATCATTGCTTATGATTATCAGGTATATGTACGTACATGTGGAACGTGAAAAATATGCTAATCATGTCTGCTTTTCATGCAGGATAATAAGTTTAAAACTTCTCATTCCTACTGTGCAGGAAATTGTAGTTCTAGTGACGCTATTTTGCTTATTTCAAGCTTCTGTTGGCCTGATTTTGCCTTCACTTGTGAAATTAAGGACCATGTACGCAGAACAAGTGCTCTTTCTTTCTCATCTTTTTTCCAGTAAAAAAAGGCATCATAGTTTCAATTTTATTTAATTTGGAACTTCTCCTGCTATTTCTTGGTATTCCCAGGTATGTGCCGAATGAGTTGCGTGGTGGGATGACAAGCCTTTCTCAAGCCCCTGCACATGCAGCAATTTTGTTTTTTATGGTGCAGGTGCGTATCTCTTATCTTTGATCACTTCAAAATAGATAAGTAAGATCAAGCATTTAATGGATTCTGATTCCAAAGAAGTGAAATCTCGATTTCGACGTACAAAACCAGGAGGAATTAATCCTCCAAAACCAGAACATAGAAAATTGTATGAAAGTAGCTTTCTGTGTTTAGCTTCAGGCTTTTTTTTAAATAAAGTAAGATTTACCACGATGTCGCAGGGAGGCTATTATCGGAACATTGGGAATGCTGCAATCCTGGCAATTGCTGCTCTTGGGCTGTTTACAGCGGCTGGTTGCATGCATGTGCTAAAACGGTGGGGAAAGCAACCCTATCAAAACGGGCACAAGCTATGATTTCATGAAAATTTTTTGCCAAAATTGGTGAATTTTGAATGGCTATCATCATTCCTTGATTGACGAAAAGAAAAATTCTCAGAAAATAATAGATCAAATACCATTTGACATCCCACGAGCATCAAAAGAGGTGACTACTTATAGAACAATGGCAAACACAAAAAGATCATTTTTATGATACACTCAGAGGTCTTGTTTCTAAGGAATCAACAGAAAAGTGATGAGAGACAGCGACCATTTAATTCTTTAGTCAGAGTTTCGTACAAGATTTGAGATACTGAACTCTTTTTTCTTTGCCGCCCGAAGTTTTTCGGGCTATGTAGATAATTCAGCTGGCAAGTCCGGAAAAAATGCAAACATGTCCATCCGTCATCAAGATTTGGGTCCGACTGTGAAGGATTGCACAAGCCGAGCACTGGATGTGGCACCTTGATGATCCAAAATTACAAGTCTACTTTTGTAGCCCACCTTGCATTTTATACTTGGGAGTACATTCGAGATATTGGTGTTTAGGTTCTTGAACTTCTTAGAAAGAGATTAGTTTGGTTGTGAAACTGTGGTTCGCCGCCGGAGCTCAACAGAAAAGTAGAGAGTTTCAGAAACACTATTATTTCTTGAGGAGTTTGAAAAAGTAAAAGTTGCATTTTTTTTTTCCGGGGTTTAGCTACCTTAAACAAATAACAGGCTTTAAGCTAATAATCAGCCAAAAAAAAATTCAACCAGTAAGTCAGTTTTTTAGTTAAGTAAATCTGGAATTCTCTGTTATCACTTTCGGGTCTACTCTTAACACGCTTCTAAAACCACACATTAGTTAAATTTAAAATTAAATTATTACTTTGTAACACCATTTATTATTCGAAAAGAAGCCCATACAGTTATTTATTTTTTCAGAAATAGTAAAAAATAGACTAATATGAAAAGCTTAAGAAAGTATATAGGTCAATATTTAATTATAAAAATTAATAAGTCATAACTTGTTAAGTTATGGTTCATAACTAGATAAGTTATGGACAAACTTGTTAAATTATGGTTCATAGCCATACAAGTTATGGACAAAAACCGTCAATAACTTGTCAAGTTATGGTTCATAACCAGATAAATTATGGATAAAAATAATAATTTGACATATTTATTAACTTATGTAAATTATTAGCCTATTAATTTTAATTCATCTCAAGTCTTTGCCTATTTCTCTCTTTCTCTCTTTATTTTTTCCCTCAACTTTGGCCCCAACCCCCTCTCTATTCTTTTAAAAACTCTCATTTTTGAGCTGTGCCCTCTCTGTTGTATCAAAAGGCAATCAACTTGCATGAACCATCAATGTAGGATATGGAAAAAATTACGGAACTTTTTGTTTTTTTTTTGAGAGATGTAGGCACAATTATGTTTTCTTTACCGGAACGTTTCTCTTTCGTCTAAGGTAGTTCTTCTCTTTTACTTCATTCTCCTTTTGCAAACGGAGAGTCAAACCCCAAAATTGTGTCCACTCAATACCATCCCACAACACCACTCAATATACTAATCGGCAGAGGTAGCAAATTAATGGTCTCATTTTTATTCGTATCTTTTGCTCTTAATAAGCTTTAAGTGCTTAGTTGCATTTTAAGAAACGTTAGTGTTATTAATTAGATGTACATAAATTGATATATACAATGCCTATGGTACGCGTACTATTGGCCTTAGAAGTTGGAATGGACGTTATCCGGTAATTGCAATAAACGTAGCAGTTTTTTTAAAACTCGTTTGGAGTAAATTAGATATTTTAAAATATTTTTAAGCAAATAGTATATTTACTGATAAATAAATTATTCAACTTCAAACATTTTTTTGGTGAATAATTTGATTCACTAATAAATATGATATATATTCAAATATTTAAGATTTGTCATTTACTTGAAAAACATTTCAAAAAAATGCTTATTTGCTTTTCTCCATCATTTCTTTAATATATATATATATATATATATTTTTTTTTTATTTAAAAGGAGAAATAAATTTCCTAACAGAAAAAGATATTATAAACACCAATCCGCCCCCACACAGTTTCTCACCGCAGAAACCAACCTTGAAGAGGTACATTAAAGTTGTACTACACATATGGCTCTTTACAGATTATTTATAATTAATGGAAATATCTTGTCAACCAACGTCAAGAATTTGATAGCACTAAGGCAACACAGAAGCTGTCAAGAAACAAATCTAGAGGACAAAAAACACAAACAAAGATACGAGACAAAGACAAACGCAGGAAAAAATCGGGTAAAAGTCGCCGCTGATAAACTCCGACCAATGTTAAGAATTTGATAGCACCAAGGCAACAACGATAGCTTTCAGCATAGAGACGACCATCAAACAAAATTATAAGTTGTAAATGACTTTTATAATTAATCGTGTGGTCATATTTAGCTTTTGGAAAAGCTGACATGTTGGCTTGGTTCGCCAAGTGGCAAAATCAAACCACCACCACAACAACCAAATTGTTGCCAGCTGACACGCTCACTCCACATAATTGACCTTTGAAACACTTCAGCGATTTGATATTCCAATCGGTGGAAATCAATGTTCATGTGGTACCATTAGATCAATCGTCTTTAGTCACCTTCCTCTGTGTCGACTGGTTTATCAATTAAATCTAAGTCCTAATTTGATTGGCCTTTGAATTGGGGCTAAAGTATTAATAAATAATTATAGAGAAATAGTAAAACATAGGTCAATATGAAAGTTTAAGAAAATATATAGACCAATTTTTAGTTATAGAAATTAATAGGCTATAACTTGTTAAGTTATGATTCATAATCAGATAAGTTATGGATAAATTTGTCAAGTTATGGTTCATAGTTAGTCAAGTTATGGACAATAACTTGTCAAGTTATGGTTCATAATCAGACAAGTTATGGACGAAAATAGTAATTTGACTTATTTATTAATTTATGTAAACTATTGACCTATTAATTTTAATTCATCTCAAGTATTGACCTATTTTCCTCTTTCTCCCATAATTATATAGGGTGCTTAGAGCCTAATACACTAATTCAGGGGCAAATTGCAGTTTAAGGGTATCAGTACAAATTAGACAAAAAAACATAGTGAAACATGCTCTTCTTCTTGATACCTTGAATTTTGAAAAACATCTTCTTAGTACCCTAAAATTAATTTTTGAGATATTTGATGTCCAAACTACTATTTTTATTAGTTAAATACACATCAGTATTTAAAAAAAAAAAAACTAAAGATAATTTAAAACAATAAAATATTTAACAGAAAATAACAAAATAAAAAAGTTCATGATTTTCTCCTAAATCTATTAATTTTTTATTAATTAGATAAAAAGGTATTAAGGTTATTTTACATCTTAAAAATCAATTTCAAGGTTCTAAAAAGATGTTTTTGAAAATTTCGAGGTACCGCTTTAATATTATCAAAAAGACAAAATATCAAGAGCATGTTTTACTATAACACAGGATACCAAAATGATTATATACCACGTTTATTTTAGGTTGCATTTCATTAACAAAAAAGGAACAATGTCATCGTCAAAATAATTTATGCTGAAAAAAATGGCAAAAGGAATTTTTTTTCATCTAATATTACTTTTCAAATTTTCTACTATCTTTCAAGTAATCGAGTTCCATTTCCTAAAAATAGATAAGTATATAACAATAATAATAATCTATTAAAAAAATGATATATGCAAATCTTTAGTTGACTCGCGATGAATCTAAAAAGATGCATGCTAATCGCAGCACTTATTGCAGTCTCTACAAAACATTGCAAAACTTACATGTACAAGTACTTGGCAATCAATCATCTTGTTCTTCATCCCTGATCCACTTTGTAGCCACCCATTTTTCCCCTTTGATCACGGGACAGCTTCCATGAAGTGATGTCTACAAAAGCATCATCCCACGAAGTAATTTTAACTACCAAACATAGCCGAAAGGCTAAAACAATTGTAAAAGGTTTGTTAGGATTATTGTCATCACATAAAATTAGATCCACAGTTTGTTTGTTCGTTTTTTTTTTGTTTTTGTTTGTAGGGGGTTTAGCAGCAGCATCCACAATGTTGGTCATAGTCATTTCACATTGATAAATGCTTCACCAAACAACGGAAAATATAAAACTTTGAAGTCTTTAAAAAGGAAAGAATGCCCTAGCGTAGTTTAATACCGCAATCTGGGTAAGGAGAGCTTAGTTCATTCATATGGTGGCATGACCTACTTTAGGATATTCAACTAGAAAAATTGGCAACTTTACTTCTCTGCTTGGTCACGGGGTTGACATGCAACAAATAATGGTTACAAAAGTAACTATCCGTAGGAACTCAACTTTTATGTCAGATGGGTAATTAATTTCATGGTCGGTAAAAAAATGTTCAAATTAAATTTGAAAGAGATGTTGGTTAGAATCATGACTAACCGGATCAATGGTACCATTTGGAAACAATGAATAAAACAGAAGTCCATCCCCTTTCTGTGGCTTCACTTTTAAACCTACGCATTCTTCAAAATCATAGTTCCCGTTCATGTTAAGGCCATTCTGCAAATACCAAATAGGATGACTGTTCCAATTCCTTGTCGAAAAATCAAAAAGTAGATACAAAAGATGGTGTCTCTATCTTACCTCAAAGGGAAACATTGTTTCCCCCCCTTCTTCTACATCGGATAGATACAACAAGAACGAGGCAACCTGTAGGACATGAAATGAAGCTTGAAATACTTCCATCAAAATTAATGACTCAGTTGAGCCATGATGGCTTCGGAGGTCATTTTTCTTGGTGAGCATCAAGAGCGTCCTTAAGTATTTAAGTTTATCAATAGACAAATCTTCAGATGAAAGGACAAAGTACACGTAACTATAATATAGAAACGACCACCAAAAATTCAGTTATCGCTTACCCTTTGGCTCTTTTGTGGGCCATATTCAGCAGCGCTGAAGGCGTCATAGTGAGAGTTATACCTCTGGCCAAGATTGTATCGCAAAACGTTGAAAGCCTGAAACATGAGGAATTATAGACAGTTTTAGATTTAGATTTTCCCTGAAATAAGACGAACTAATTTGACCAGAATAATGCCAATTATAGCCAGTTTTAGATTTAGCTTTTCCCTGAAATAAGACGAGCTAATTCGACCAGAATAATGCCACTCAATAAAGTACAAAGGTCCTTTAGGCCAGGAAAAGTGGAATATCCAATATCTTGGAACGAACGAGATCTTACCTATAGGAACTTTCTATGTGGCACATTTGTTTCTCACAAAGCAAAATGCATCAACATGACTAAAGTATTTCAGAAAACCCACAAAGTGTTGTGATTTTGAACGCTTCAATTTCAAATGATGAGCTCTACAGTCTTTTAGACTTTGACCTATCTTAAAAATCAGAGCTGGCACATATTTAAATCTATCAATATGCAGATGTACGCAATTTCTATCTCATAACGTCAAATAAGTGAGCATTTTACAGTTTGATTCCACCATCTGCTACAAATAGAAACCATGGTAGATGACCCAACTCCGCCCCATCAATCCCCCAGTATGTGCATGTGATGGAATGTAAATAAAACTTAATACAAGCTTTGTTAGCAACACTTTAAAAGGCATACATAATGAGTATTTGGAGAGAGACATAACATGATAAAAATTACAATTTGACTCTAAATAGTACCTCGCCATGTGTTCTGGGAATCATTGTCGCCCTCGCAATTTTTTCCTCAATGACATCCAAAGTCCCTGTTTTGTCTTCAGAAGCACTAATAAACATGCCAGAACTGCTCGAAAAGACAGTATAATACCACTATAAGTTAACACTTTTCTTAATTGGTATCTGAAAGTAAATGAGATTCGGTCAACAATACATAAAGATATTTTAAAACGAGCACATAGAAATACCTAAACGAAAAGATAACAAATGATGCATTCTCCAATTATTCAACTTTCAAGAGTTTTAAATCCCAAAAATGATCTCTCTTTTTAAACTGTCATTTTATGTTTTGCTCTGTTTCTCCTTTATCCTTTGAAGAAGAGCAGACTCAAGAAGCGAGGGGTAACACCAAAGTCCAAGCAAAACATACGTCAAACACTTAGGAGAACAACACGTCTACCTATATGGTTACTTATTTGGAAAACTATCTTTCCATCTTATTCACACGCAACTACTAAGTTCAGAACATCAATTGAACATTTTATATCCAACGTATGAGAACATTACAAATAATAACAACAACAACAACAAACCTTAATCCCAACTAATTAGGATCGGCTATATGGATTTCACTTTTCCACACAACTCTGTTTGAAATTAAACTTTCCTGAAGGCCTAGATCTAGAATGTCTTTCCTAACGACTTCAGTCCACATAATTCTTGGTCTACCCCTCCCTCTCTTAGTATTAGGTATAAGAATGTCCTCACAAGCACGAACTGGTGCTTCTAGCAGTCTATGTTGGACATGCTCGTACCACCTCAAGCGGCCTTCGCGCACCTTATCTTCTATTAGCGCTACACCTATTTTACTACGAATAACTTCATTCCTTATGCGATCCATTCTCGTATGGACACTCATCCATCTTAACATACGCATTTCTGCCACTCATTTTAGATATATGTTGTCTCTTAATGACCCAACATTCACTACCATATAACATAGTTGAGCGGATTACAGTCTTATAGAACTTTTCTTTCAACTTAATAGGCATCTTGCTATCACATAAAACTCCCGTAACATTCTTCCACTTAACCCACCCTGCCTTAATCCTATGTTGAATATCTTCTTCTATATCTCCTTCACACTGCACTATAGACCCAAGGTACCTAAACTTCCTAGAAGCCTCAATCTCCACACCATCTAAAGAAATTCCATCACTCTGATTACTTGAGTAACTAAACCTACAATGCATGTATTCAATTTTCGTCCTACTTAACTTAAATTCCTTCGTCTTGAGAGTTTGTCTCCACAGTTCTAACTTACGGTTAACTCCTTCCCTATGTTCATCAACTAAAACTATATCATCCGCAAAAAGCATACACCAAGGAACTTGATCTTGGACTTCTCTTGTCAGCTCATCCATCACGATGGTGAAAAGATAAGGACTAAGAGCAGATCCTTGATGAAGGCCGATCCGAATGGGGAACTCTGCCGTGTAGCCTCCAGCAGTTCTCACACTCATGACCACCCCATCGTACATGTCCTTAATTACCTTAATATACCTCACATGCACTCCTCTCTTTTCTACCACCCACCATAAAACTTCTCTCAGCACCCTATCATATGTCTTTTCTAAATCTATAAAGACCATATGTAGGACCGTCTTGATTTCTCTGTACCTTTCCATCAGCATCCTAAGAAGAAAAATGGCTTTCGTGGTTGATCTGCTTGGCATGAAGCCAAATTGGTTACCTGAGATGGTAGTTGTTGCCCTTAATCTCCTTTCAATAACTCTCTCCCAAAGTTTCATAGTGTAGCTTATTAACTTTATGCCCGTATAATTGTTACAATTCAGCACATCTCCTTTATTCTTGAAGATAGGAACAAGAATACTTTTCCTCCACACATCGGGCATATGCTTCTTCTTTAGTATCTCATTAAAAAGTTTAGTGAGCCACACAATTCCAGCATCTCCTAACGCCATCCAAACCTCTATTGGAATATCATTTGGCCCACATGCCTTCCCCTTTTTCATCTTCCGTAGTGCAGTTTTAACTTCCGAGACTCTGATTCCTCTTGTATACATCACATTAGGTTCTCCTTGTGACCTAAGATTGTCAAACTCTATCGCATGATCATCATTATAAAGCTTCTCAAAGTAACTCCTCCACCTTTCCCTAATGTCTTTATCTTTTCTTAGAACCTGATCTGTATCATCCTTAACACACCTCACTTGATTTAGGTCCTGACGCTTCCTTTCTCTTATCTTAGCTAGTTTATATATATCCTTCTCTAGTTCCAAGTTTCCTATATACCTCATCTAAGTAAGTAGAACGAGCCTTACCAACTGCTCGCTTAACTTCTTTCTTCGCTTTTTTGTACTTATTAAAAATTTCAACATCCTTACGCTTTGATAAATCTCTATATAAATCCCTCTTCGTCCTAATAGACAACATTACAAATAATATGGGATCAAAATTATCTTGGTTAGCTTCAAGTCGAATTAGATTGAAAATAAAAAAATAAAAAATTTTCTATCCAAAAATATGCTTTTTTATTTTTTTTATTTTTTACCACATCTCCAATGGACAATAAATAATCTGAAATGGATTGTCATTAAACCGAAGTACCTTGTTCGAATTCCTTTTGTGCTCTCTTCTGTTTCTCCTTTTCGTAAAGCTAATGTGGACGGTCTTATGCTTGGCTCCGCCATACTAATTATGCTTTCACATTGTTCTGCAGTTGCAAAATTAGGAAAATATAGAGCTCGAGGATTCCAGCTTAAGACCTACATTAACACGAAAATATAAATATAAAAATCCTGCATTTGTTTTGAATGACTTAAAAACAAAAACAAAAAAAAAGACCGGTTTTTGGCATGTTTAGTTCAAAAGCTATTTTGAACTCGTTTATAGGTCTTTTAGAACAAAACAACTCCCTGGCGCTTATGAGAAAGAGAGCGCTTTTTTATTTATATTTTTACCCTTTTATAACAATAAGAGTTTTGATTTACATAACCAAACAAGTTGAAAAGCTATACTCAAATCAAAAAGCTCTTTTCTATATATTATTCAATCTTTTCTGTTATTGCTTAAAAGTAAAAGCAAAACTGTCACAAACAAGTCCTAAAGCGAGATCAATCTTTTATATACAAAAGTTTGAAATTTATAATTATGTATCTCTTCAATTCCTAATTGTTTCCACACACAAAAAAAAAAGATTCAAAAATATATAGTCGCAACACGAATCAGAAAAAAAAGAAAAGCAGAAAAAGGCCGACCTGAAACGGAATTGTAGTAATAGAATCGTCACCGGTCTCTCCGGAGGGCAACAAATCGTACTCGCTCTCCTTCGCCGTAGATTCCAATTCTCTCCCTCTCGGTCTACCGGCACCAGACAATTCCTGGTCCTAGATTAATCGAAAATGCGAAGTCAACACAGGAAAAAAATCGAACTAGAAAACGTCATTTTGGTCAACTGGTACGAGAAAACCTGTGCGGTGAGAGTAGAGCCGAAGAATCCGACGAGGAAGAAGAAGACGCACAGAAGGACGACGATCGGTAACCCTAGCTTCGTCTTCAAGCTCGAACTCGCTTTGCTGGTTTTGCCTCTCATCGTTCGCCGCGCCGAGTTTCGAAACGCCACATGAAACTCTTCTTCTTCTTCTTCTTCTTCTTCTTCTCGTTTCGAAACTTCTCTCTCTGCTCTGTCTTTCTTTTTCTAGTACATTACGTCTTTTCAGCGGAGATTTAGCAGTCAATCAAAGGCTGTGAAGTTACGGGCAGTTCTCTTTTTTTTTTTTTTAATCGTTACTAATCCAATTCCATGGTACAGGCGGGAGTTCCTCTCTCTCTCTCTCTCTCTCTCTCTCTATCTTTCTTTTTTTTCTTTTTTTTTTCACACTCCTTTCTCTCCCGTTCACTTCGAATTTTACCGCAGTGAATTTTCAGGTGCGAAAATCATGGGAATCTCCGATCTCATATAAAGGAACCCGAATCCTAGGATCCCCAAAGCATCGGATAAAATCAAACTGTTAAACAGGGGATTCTTTTTTTTTTCTTTTTTTTTTTCCATTCAGGAGAAGGTGGAGTAATTAACTAATTATACTAATTTGCTAATAAATTTACCTTTTAATTCTCCTCAGCAAAGGAAACTTACCATTTTACCTTTCAAAAATAAAACCTTACTATTTTATAATGGAATATTTACATTTTTATACTTTGTATTTTGAGTTTATTCAAAAATTATACTTTTAATTTTTAATTTCATCAAATGTATACTTTTAAATAATTTAATACCTAAATTTATACATTTTTACAATCAACCCTCAATTTTAAGTATAAAATACATAAAGTACTCTTAAATAACATAGAAAAAAAAAACTAAAAAAATAATTTTAAACTTACAGTTTTAACCTTAAAAAATTTAAAATACCATTGAAATTGGGTTTTTTGTGTTTTTATTTTTATTTTTTGTAATGTTGGAAAGTTTTAGTGCATGTTCTTTTAACTAACTCAAATTTTTAGCTACAGTATTTTTTCTCACAAAAATTCAAATGTAACTTTTTTATTACATTGTTTTCTCTTACATATAAAACTCAAGTTTTTAACTCAAGTTCGAGAAAAGAACGTGCCTTTAGTTTTAGTTTCTCTCTTTTTTAAGGATAATTTGGTCATTTTAGAGGTCAAAATCAATTATTGACCGAAATGATGGATAGATTTGTATATTAAATCAAATTTGAAGGTATACATTTGATGATATAAAAAATTGAAAGAATAGATTTTGAATAAACCTAAAATCTAAGGTATAAAAATGTAAATATTCCTCTTATAATTTGTCTTCTCTTAATATGACTTAAGGATAATTTCATCTTTTCAAGTATGGGCATCCACCGCTGACCGTCGTACGGGCTTTTCCTGTCAGTAGTGCTGGGACTTTGGGCCTCTGGGCTTGCCTGAAGCCCGAATTTTTAAGGCTCGGCGGCAGGCACCTAAGGCCGCTTGTTCAAGCACTTTCTCGGGTTCGAGCTCGGGCTACCCGAGAAAAATCAATATCGCGAAGCCCGCCGCCGAACGAAAGCTTATGACCATCGATCGCCAAATATTTTTTTATTTTTTTTTTCCCTTTGGCCCGAATTCCAGCCCAATTTGCCCAAAGCTCGATCAACGGCTAATTTTTTGAACGTTGGCGCCCGACCCGAACCGTCGCCCGAAAGCCTGACCACCAATGGCTCCTTTTCTTACTGTTGCCTGATTTCGGCCCGAACCCGACCCACCGATTCCAAGAAATAGCTGTTGGATCCGAATTTAGGAAGGAAAAATCAATTTTTTTAATCCAAAAATTTCTCTATAAATACGCCTCCATCCCCAAACATTTTCCTCACCCAAACTCTCTTAATCTCTCTCAATTTCTCCCAATCTCTCTCAATTTCTCTCAATCTCTTAATAAAAAATTCCAATTTTTTGAATTGATTTGTGTTAATACTTAATAGTGTACGTTGATTTTAAATTTTTAATCTTAATTATAATTTTTATATAATTTTTACAATAAATAACTTAATAATTATTTATATACAAATACAATTAATAACCAACATTATATATAATATATATATGCTCGGGCTGCCCGACCGGGCTGCGGGCAGTTAAGAACTGCCTGAAACCCGTTCAATGTCATTTTCGGGCTCAAGCGGGCTTGAACAACGGGCACAAATTTAATTTTTTAAAATAATCGTGGACGGTTCGTTTAAAATTTTAGCACTATTTGTCAGTACGCAATTGGCATCACACACACCGTCCGTGTGCCTTCTTTTTTGAATTTTTAAAGGAAACTTTGCACTTTCGCAGGTTATCAAAGAACGACTTTAACTGTTGTTAATTTTCAGAGCAAAAAAAAAAAATTTGTTGTAAATTATCTGTCTTATAACTGAAGCATGCGCATTCAGTAATATAATAAGAATATAATAAGAAGAATAATAATAAAGGTCGAATAAGCTCAATAAACAATCCACAGATTCCCCCATTGATTAAATGTGGTTTTAGGCTTTTTAGCTAGCTTATTGCCTGAAAACACGTCGAAAAGTTAATTTAGGATATTTGATTCTTGTTATTTTGTCATTTTGGTCATTCATCGTGGTTTTCCCATCATGCACCACGTCATAACTAGAATCATTTCTCAATGCTTCAATTGGTCTGTGTCATGTTGCCCGATCAGCTTTTTATAAAGGTTCATCCAAACATCTGAACTGGCTTGTGATTGGACTTGGTCCATTTATGTTTGTTGCGTATAGCACAAAGTGGACATAAGCATAGGCCATGGCCCTATCTCTAAACGTGTAATGACTGAGAAAATTCCAGACCTTAAATAATACAATTTATATATTTTTAAACTAAGGATTTTTTTAGAAAATATTATGTTATATTGTGAATGAAGGATTTATGGAATTAATATATGTATTCCTAAATTCTATAGCAAATTTCATGTTAAGTTCATGTTTCGATCAAGTAAATTCGATCGATAAATTCTCGCCGTATTTTAAGGCGGAATAATTTTCAGTACAAGTATAGTTTGAGAATCTTAATTTCAAGAATCTCTAAGCACAGCACGATGTTAGCGGCGTATAAAAAAAAACGCACTGGCATTTTAAAAGAAGAAAAAAATCCTTAATTGCTAGACAGTTAGGTTAAAGTCACAAGATAAATACCTATAGTAGATGGATACAATATGAGCTCGGGAGTTGACACTGTCAGAAACGTCATTCTTGGGATAGAATGCAGAAAATTAAAATTTAGAATTTGTTCAGTCTAAAATTAATTTCAAGACTTGAAACAGTTTGAAATATTACGCGAGTAAGAATATAAAACAATATTGAATTATTCAGAAATTGATATAGGACTGTAAGTAGTAGATTAACTTACGTGAGCTAAACTAATTACCTCTAATCAGTATAAATTTAATCTGTTTAGAGGAAATAATTGAGGATAAGATCAGGCACGTAATCTTGCCTTAATCAGATACTTTATATAGTGAAATTTTTAGGGTTCTTGCACTTTCTTTCTCTTATTCTCGCTCATTCTCTCTCCTCTCACGTTTTCTCTCACACAAACCATCAATGGCCAAATACTCAAGTTAAGATTCCGACCTCCATTTTTGACACCACCGGTGTCAATAGAAAGATCTCGACGAGCTGAGTTCAACGACATGCGGCACGCCCTCCAACTCCGCCGGAATCAGCCGCAATCGCCGGCGGAAGTT